TAAACTATAATAATTTGATTGTTAGTAAAAAAAATAGGTAGTACAAAAAACTAGTTGATTAGTTAATTAGTTTTCATTATAGTTAAAGTTAAAGTGTATTAATTTCATTGTTAGTAAAAAAATAGGTAGTACAAAAAACTAGTTGATTAGTTAATTAGTTTTCATTATAGTTAAATTTAAAGTGTATTAATTTCATTGTTAGTAAAAAAAATAGGTTGTACACAAAACTAGTTAATTCACTAGTTAATTTGATTAAAGTAAACTTTAAAATACTAATTTGCTATAACTCGAATTAATAGTTAGATCAATAGTTAATTACTTTATTACATTTTTTATTAATTGCTACCTTTGACTCTAGTTTAAAAAACTAGTTAATTCTCATTATAGTTAAAGTTAAAGTATATTAATTTCATTGTTAGTAAAAAAAATAGGTTGTACACAAAACTAGTTAATTCACTAGTTAATTTGATTAAAGTAAACTTTAAAATACTAATTTGCTATAACTCGAATTAATAGTTAGATTAATAGTTAATTACTTTATTATAATTTTTTATTAATTGCTACCTTTGAATCTAGTTTAAAAAGCTAGTTAATTCTCATTATAGTTAAATTTAAAGTATATTAATTTCATTGTTAGTAAAAAAATAGGTTGTACACAAAAACTAGTTAATTCGCTAGTTAATTTGATTAAAGTAAAGTTTAAAATACTAATTTGCTATAACTCGAATTAATAGTTAGATTAATGGTTAATTACTTTATTACAATTTTTTATTAATATATTTTTATTAATATATTTGTTGCAATTTAATATTTGTTACATTTTTTAGATGGATCGTCCTAGATATTCGGTTGATATGGGTAACCTCGGGCGCAACCGAACGAAAGAGCTTGCGAGGAAGAGATCCCGCAAAGGTAAATCACATATCGGCTCTTCATCTCAAAGTTGAGATGATTTTGATACGGGTTACGCAAGGAGGGATGAGGATGCGATGACCGACGAACAACTAGAACAAGAATTCCACCGACATAATTCCAGCTTTTTTCAAGACCAACCGAGGACCATTGACGAAGAAGAGCTCGAGGACGACGATGTGGAGGAAGTAATTCTGGAGAGCCACGACGACGCGGAGGAGGAGGGTGGCGGCAGCCACGATGCCGACGAGCCTGCCTCATCCCAAACCGGTACGAAAAAAAGTAAATCTGAACTAATGGCTAATAATTTTTCTAAGTGGAAGGACCCGAACACCGGGAATTGGACCGCAACTTACAATTGGTGCAAGAAAAACTATAGCTTGGGGATTTCCGGCGGATACAGATCCGCCACAAGACATCTTAAGTCCAAACACCTGGTGGAGTATGCAAAATTAGGCGGCGGAACGGGGAAGCAAACTCAAATATCGAGGTTTGCAAATTACCAACAAGCTTTTGGTAATTTCTCATACAATGATGCACAAAATTTGACTGGTATGGCTGACTTACTTGTTGAAGAAAATTTGCCTTATTTGTTTCCTGAAAGTCTTGCTTTTTGTGATTATGCACAAACTTGTTTAAATCCGCAATATAGAGGTTATAGTCGCAAAACGGTTAAGAAAGAAATTTCAAGGCTTTATAGTGCGGAAAAGGTAAGGTTACAAAATTATTTTGCAAACTTTGATGGGCGTGTTACTTTATGTTCTGACATATGGGGGATACTTATCATAATTTAAATTATTTGGGTCTGACTGTACATTATATTGATAATGATTGGCATATGCATAAACGTGTTCTTGCTTTCCGTGAATTTAATGATCGTCACACCGCTGAACATATTTATATTTTGATTGAGCGTATTTTAATTGAGTATAATTTAATTGATAAGGTATTTGCTATTGGTTTTGATAATGCTACTAATAATACTGCTGCTATTCCTAGATTGCGTGAATTGTGTGGTTCTACTTCTTTGATGGGTAGATTTTTTCATCAACGATGTGCATGTCATGTTATAAATTTATGTGAACAAGATGGTCTAAAAGCGTTGGGAGCATCTTTGGAGGTAGTCAAGGGGAGGATTAGACGTATTTGGGGTAATGGACAACTTAGAAAGAAATGGCATGATTATTTGATAGAAAGGGGTGAGAAATATGTGGCTTTTCCTAAAGATTTGTCTATTCATTGGAATACTACCTATAAGTTAATTGGAGTTCTTCTTAGATATAAAAAAAATCATGCTTTTATGAAACAATATGATAACTATATTATAAACTCGGCTGAGATCGACACTTGTGAAAAAATTTGTAATGCTTTGATATGTTTTAATAATACAACTGAAACTTTTAGTCATGTTTATAAACTTACCTCAAACCAATTTATTCGTGAAGCTGTTAATCTCGCCGGTGCTTTTTCAAATTTTGAGAATGCTAATTATGTGAGTTATTTTACTAGTTTTATGAAGGAAAAGTTTTTAAAATATTATTCACATATTCCGTATATTTATGGTATTGCATTTGTTCTCGATCCTCGTTTTAGACTTGGTTCTTTAGAAGAATGTTTGAATTATTATTATGCTGCTTTTTTTGGTCCATTGTCAATGTATGAGGACAACCCAATTGATCCGAAAAAAGAATATAACGAGGATAGTGATATATTTTATGCATTATTTAATGACTTTCATGCACAATATGGCAATGCGCCCCCTCCCCCAACACAAACATCATCTAAAGGAAAATCAATTTTCAAATCTACATTTGCCAATCTTATTAAAAAACAAAATCAACTCTCGCTACGCAACAAAGCACAATTAATGAGATTTCTTTGTATTTAACATATGATGTTAATTTTGAAGAAGATGATTTTGACATACTAAACTGGTGGAAGGGAAAAGAAAGAATGTTCTCGGTTTTAGCAAAGATGGCTAAGCAAGTGCTATCAATGCCGGTTTCAACAGTTGCCGTGGAACAAGAATTTAGTTCAACCGACAATGTCCTAACGCAATGAAGAATGAGGTTGAACGCAGAATCTCTTGACATGTTTATATCCTACCACGATTGGTTAAAAGCGGCCCGTAGAGCTCAAGAAATTCACATCACCCCATCCCAACACTTTATGGATGAATCTACAACCGAGAGTGGCTCTACCTATGTCGGAGATTCCGATTGAATGATTGATTAGTATTTCATGTTTTAATTTTACCTTCAAATCTCAATTGTAACTTGTAAACTTGTGGTTCATATTTCAAATAAATATACGTTCATTTTTTTATATGTAGCATTTTTTACTGAATTCATAAAATTAATTAATTAATTTTACATTATGTAATTTATTCAAACTAAAACATACAAAAAAAATTGAAATCAAAAGCCCCAAACGGCTATATAGCCACTATGGTAGTTTGGTTGTTTGAAATTTGAATTAATAGAGACATAGAGTCATTGGGGGTTGGGGTGGGTGGTATGGATGGACTAAACCGGGCCGGGCTGGCCCGGAACCAGCCCAGCCCGCTATTGTGCGGGCCCGGAACGGACCGGGACCGGTTAGCCGGTTTCGGGCTTTTAGCCCGTTTGGGCGGATCGGCCGGGTCCGGGTCAATTTTTTTTTTCCAATTTTTTTTCTTTTCCTAGGGTAGGGCTGGGTGTTTTGGGGAGGTTTGGGGGTGAGGGGTGAGGGGGGGGGGGGTCGGGGGATAACAAGAAAGCAAGAAAAAAAATTAGACATTGAACCGGGCCCGGCCCTGCCCGGTTAGGCCCGGACTCGGTATCAACCCGGGCCCGTTCCGGGCCCAAGAATTTGCAAAAAAGCACGCCCGGGCCCGGCCCGGATAGGGATGGACCGGTTCCGGTTCGGGCTCGGTTCGGGCCTGGACCCGGCCAGGCCTCGGTTCATGAAGGGGAGGCCCGGAACCGGCCCGGGTAACCCCCGGGTCCAGGCCGGCCCGGGCTGGGCCTCGGTTCTATTTTTTTTTTTTTTTGGCTTTTCCTAGTTAACCCCCAACCCTCCCCCTCACCCCCAAACCAACCCTAACCACCTCAAATGGCCCAAAATACCCAACCCAACCCAAAAACTTAAAAAAAATTCAAAAAACAAAAATTGGCCCAGCCCAAGCCTGAACCGGCCGGGCCAGTTCACCTTTTGAAGAGCCCGAGCCCGAACCGCCATCCCATCGGGCTTGGTGGCCCGAACCGGGCCCGGAACCGGTTCACCGGGCCGCCGGTCCGGTTCTGGGCCGGTTGGCCCGACCCGAGTCCACCCCTAGGCTCGGAACCGGAACCGGCCCGGGTCCATCCATAGTGGGTGGGGTACAAAAAATTCTATAAATACTCTTATTTTCTAACATTTTTATACACATCTTCTCTTACATCCAATCTCTAATCTCCATTCTCCATCTTCATTAGAGATGGACTAAACCGGGCCGGCCCGACCCGGAACCGGCCCGGTCCGTTACTGTTTGGGCCCGAACCGGACCGGGACCGGTTGGCCGGTTCCGGACTTTTAACCCGTTTGGGCGGGTCGGGCAGGCCGAGCTCGGGCCCAACTTTTGGTGAACCGACCTGGGTGGTTCGGGCCGGGACCGGTTCAATTTTTTTGTTTTTTCAATTTTTTTTGCTTTTCTAGGTTAGGGTTGGGTGTTTTGGGGGGGTTTGGGGGTGGGGTGAAGGGGGGGGGGTGTTAATTAGAAACCAAAAAAAAATTGAACTTGACCCGAGCCCAGCCCGGCCCGGTTAGGCCCGTACCCGGTATCAACCCGAACTGGTTCCGGGCCTAACATTTTGCAAAAAAAGCCCGCCCGGGCCCAGCCCGGAACCAGAACCAGACCGGCTCGGGTCCATCCCTAATCTTCATCTCCATCTATTGTAGAATTATTATATCTACCATTTTTAAGATGGAAAGTCAATATACCATTATACGGTATAATTATGATAAGCAGAAGGACCCGAGGACCGAGATGTGGTAATGTGGTACGCAACTTGCAAATGGTGCGGGGAAAAATGTAGCATGGGGGTTTCAGACGGATACGAGATGACAATGAAGCATATTAAGTCATGGGACAAAGCCAAAGGATCGGGAGGTGCGGGAAGTTCCGATTGATTACAATTTACATAATGTATTTCATATTGTATATTTCTCTTAATTTTCAAATGTAGTTCCTATTTCATTTCAAATAAATGCACTTAATGTTTGTTTTTAATACTTGTATAAAACTATAAAGTATAAATTATAAAAAAATATTAGTTTTAACCGGCCCGGCCCGGCCCGGCCCGGCGAGTGGCCCGAACCCGTGACCCGGGCAGGTGGCCCGGCCCGAACCGGACCCGTCCAAACCTCGGGCCGGTTCCGGGTCCATGAGTTACAAACCGACGGTCCGACCGGGCCTAGGCCTGGCCCGACCCGGCCCGAGTCCATGCCTAGCCGGGCCGGTCCACCAAATAACCATCCCATAGCCACTCCCACCCCCCCCCCCCCCCCAACCCCCGGTTCGGGCCTCAAGGCCCGGTCCGCGTCTCGGTCGCCCGGTACCGTACAGTAGTGGTCCGGGCCGGATTCCGGTCCGGTTCAAACCGGCCCAGTCCACTCCTACATGCAGTCCTGCACGAAACATTAAACTTTGGTATCAATAAACAATACAAATACTGGGATACATTAAACTTTTGTGAGACATTAATACGCACACAATCTTGCAAGTTGTTCACACATCTTTAGATTATCTATAGTGACATTTACTTAAAAATATAGCATTAGTTACACAAAACATAATAAGTTACATCAAACACTTCTTTACACGAATATACAGAAAACATAATATTATTAGCGTAGTTCCTTGTGCATGGGAGTATCGTGGTGAGTGCTGACAGTACACAAATACCATGGTATAACAACTGTCTATTTTTGGAATTTCTCCTATTAGTTTTTATTGCTGGCAAGAGATCCACAATATGACTGAATTTAATCATAAGATTTACCACACTACTCCGTATATTTTAGTAATATTACTTAATACGCACACAATATTGCATGTCCAAAATTCAGAGGCAAAATCTTAAAGAACGAGGCTAAGTACAACCAAAATTTTTTAGGGTAATAAACTGAATATTTCTGTGAAGGCCTAGATGTGACCAGTTTCGTGAAGACTGCAGATGAGAAAATTACAGGCACGTTAATGAGAACCTCTAGGGTTGTGCTTCACCACAGCCAACCAAAAATATGAACTTCCAAAAAAATGAATCAAATCCTAATTACCTGTGAAAAAAAGAAATGGCTAAGAATCAAAGGCTTTGTCTTGACTCCCAGTTATAGAGCAGCTTTTAGGTAGTGAATATGCACTTCCAGGGATGTTAATCAGAAGATTATCTTCCATCATTCTCAATCTATCTTTGGATAGTCTTTTATCCTGAAATTTAATGATATATCATTGATACAATATAATAACAATAATGATGTTAATAATAAGAAAAACATCAACATTAGTAGTAGTAATACGGACCCTAAGAGTCCATTTGATAACACATTTCTTTGGGTTAGCATCATTATCAGTCAGATTTTTTACTGAGAACTGTTTTTTTTTCTCGAGCACTGTATTACAAATAAGTAAAACTAAAGAGGTCAAGTTTCTGGTTGAATTTGCTGAAGAGAATAATATATTAGCTTTTTTATTTAATAATATTTTAGCTTTTCTGGATATAATTTCTTCTTTATTTATTAATGAAATATACTTCAGTAATTTCAGGCTTTCAGCATATTACCAATTTTAGTAGTACCGAATGGGCTTTAAACTTCAATGTTGACAACAGAACTCCAAAAAGGAAAGCTTCAGAGTGTTACAGATCATGAAGATTTATTTATACTAAACACAACACTAGCATACCTCTGTTTCATTTTCAATTTCATGAGGCACCACGACAGTTTTGAGGTTTCTCATGATAACTTGAAGATGCTTCCTTGCCTTCAGCCTCATTAGGTGTCTTTCTTTACGTTGTGCGGCAGTAACATCTGCATGGCAAGCCACACAAAGTGTCCTCATGTTCTCTAACAAACATTCACCTGCAGAAGTTTTAAACAAGAAAAGAGATGGACATTAACCTACAGATAAAAGAATGGAGAAAGGCTTGATGAGGAAAAGGTATGATGCTCTTAAAAAGGGCTTATATTTGAAACCACTAGATAGACATCAAGTCCAAAGCAAGAGTGCGGGAAACCTAAAGACTTTAAAGTGAAATGAGTGGGGGGTAACAATCTGCAAGTTGGTTAAAATGCTTTTAGAAACTACCTCCTCCTTTATATACAGGTGTAATATGATCAGCGTGCCAAGCATTGCCTTCATTTGGATTATGAACAAGTTTCTCAAGTCTGCAAAATATCAAAGCAAACCGTTATTCAGATCAACTCTGTCAAGGCTCCAAAATGAGAGACTGGTTTTCTAACAGTCTAAGTCATGTACTCATATAGTCATATTTATGAACAAAATTATCTAATCCTATTGTTCTAACACAAGTTTCTTTTTTAACAAAGGATTGTTATTCCATGAACTTTCGTGATGCAAGTAAAGCCAATAAACTTTTCCCCTTCACTTAAAATGGTCCTCAACATGAATGAACTCTATGCTGTAATACTATTATATTGCACCCAAAATCCAAATCCATCTTGATTATTATTCAGAGGAATTTTTATGAATTTAGAGTTCTAGGTATAGGCTTCTCTTTTAGCAAGCCAAAAACAGTACAGCAAATCCTACATTAGATTCACGCTTTCAGCATTAGTTCTAGGAATCAATGCACAAAAAATTTACAATTACTATACCCTTATACAAGTTCAAATCAAGAAGGCTCTACTAATAGTGATAATATCAAAGTTGAACTTTTAATGCTTTTTTGGTTATTAGCACATCCCAATATCCAAGGATTTAGGAGTTGTTCTGTTCGCCTTAAGCTTATCGCTTACTCTTATACGTAGAATAACTTAAATCAGAATAGTTCAAATTAGAAAGGTTCAGATAAGATCAGATAAAAAAACATTTAGATCAAGCTAAAAAAATTCAAATCAGAAAATTTCAAGCACGATTTATTACTTTTATTATTAATATTACTATTATTTTTTATTATTATAATTATTATCATCATTATCATCATCATCATCATCATCATATCATCATCATCATCACCACCACCACCATTGTTGTCATTATTATAATTATTTATTACTTTTATTGTTGTAGTTAATGGTAAGTTATTATAAAATAATATCAATACGTTCTTGCTATTAATAGTAAAAAATATAATATCACTATTAAACTACATTATTTACTATTAATAGTGTAAGAGAAAAGATCAGGTGAGAAGTTCCCCTTAAATTGAGAAATGAGAAGTGAGAAGTAATCTTAACCCTTGGATTTACATGTGATCTTACAACGCAGTAAAGTTATAGACTGAAAACAGGAACTTGTAACCAATAAATGATAACTTATAAAGCTCTCCATCATAATTACGAAAATGCCACCGCGTCAATAAAATTTCAAGGTTTTTGGAGTCATTTTTTGCGGTGGCATTTTCGTAATTATTTTCAAGAGGTCTATAAGTTATGATTTATGGGTTAAAAGTTCCTATATTCAGTCTATAAGTTTAACTTCGCAGTTTCCAGCCTAAGAGCACTTCTCACCGGATCCGCTCTCAATAGTGTAATAGTACAAAATATAATATCACTATTACACTGTATTATATCAAATCAGAAAGGTTCGGATCAAGTCGGAAAGATTCAGATCAAATCAGATCAGAAAGTTTCAAAACAGATCACAAACATTCAAATTGGATCAGATAAAAGGCGAACAGAACAACTTCTTAGTACTAACCAATGTTCTAAAAGGCGTTGTTGGACAGAATAATCTATTTTAGGTTATTGGACAAAATCATCTATTTTAGGCGCATAGTAATTGTAATTAATTGTAGAATTGTAGAATTATCTCTTGCCTTGATTAGAATTGTATTTAAGGTAGATTATCTTTTTGATATTGTAGATCCTTTTATTCTAGGGAATCAATTAATTCCCAGGATTTCCAGGATTCTCTCTGTACCTATTTAAGTTCGGTAAATGAGAAGAAAATTAATTCCGCCTATTTTCTTCTTTTAGGCGTTATGTGTTAATCGAGCGCCTTGCGTCGCGCCTAGGTAGGCACTAGTTGGAGACATAGAAATTATATTTTTATCAATATATTTGCATAAATATGATAAGTAATATTGTGTTTTTGTGTATAATATATACACACACACTAACACACACATTAATATGCAAGAATGAGAGGATTGTCAAATTTAATAATATTTTATAACTAATCATTTAACTTCATTACGTAATAAATCATCATCATCATCACCATCATCATTACCCTAGCGCCGCAAAGGCTCCTACCTTCGGTGGGGTAACGGGGGGTCGGATGCAGGCAGTCTTACACTTGTACTAAAGCACAAAGAGACTGTTTCCAGAGAACCTGTTAAGATTTGGGGTTCTATCCTAAAAGGTTAACCTGATAGGAGGAGTAGACCAAAGTCTTATATAATGGTTTATTGTTTTATAGCTTTCCGGTGTGGGACAAATACTCTAACACACCCCCTCAGCCCGAATCGGGCTGGATAATATCGGTGTGTATAAATGGGCCAAACAGACCCTTAACAAGCTACCCTTAATCATGGCTGCTAAACAAGCAGTCAAACCACAACCGGACTTGGCTCTGATATCATGTTAATATTTGGGGTTCCATCCTAAAAGGTCAACCTGATAAGAGGAGTAGACCAAAGCCTTATATAGTGGTTTGTTGTTTTATAGATTTTTTTTTATTTCAATAATGAAACCACAAAGGAGATTGATTCATCCATGTCATAACATGCAACTCTCAGTAGTAATAATACATACAATATAAAGAAGAGAAAGGGACGGTTCCACAATGATCACTATCATTGACAAAATGCTCCTCTATTCGACTTTTCCTAGGATAGAATATTGCATCTGCCATAACCCTGAACTTCTTAAAGGAGTTGGAACTGATTAGCCAGAAACAAGCTTAACGACAATGCAGAGAATATTGAGGAGCATGAGTGGCACTCTCAAGTATTGGGTTGCATAGATAAGACCAAGAATCTGCCTGATGGAGTATATGGGTCCAGACCACGTGGCCGACATACTCAGAAGACAAAGAGGAGCATAGCTGTCACCCAATGGGCCCTCCGTCAGCCAGATGGCACCCCATCGGCCAAAGAAGGGTCAATCCAGAATACGCTCTGGAAGCCAAGGAGAAGACTTGTCCTCCCTCGGCCGTGCCTCCCTCGGCCAGATGGCCCTCCATCGGCCGGATAGACATCAACTCGGAATACGGTCCGGAGGCCAGGAGAACCGGGGTGCCTCCCTCGGCCGGGTCTCCGTTGGCCAGGGCTCCTTCGGCCAGACATCTGTCGGCCACAGAGAGCTCTCACAACTAGACTCCTCATGTAATCAGCCCAATAAAGGCCTTATATTGTAATGGTCCCCCAAGCCCTAGGCTTGGGAGCCCAGGCCACTTTTCCCTATAAATACTCCCCTTGGAAGCCATGTAAAGGGTTCACAAATACATTTATTACAGCATTCATTGCACTTCTCTCTCTAGCTCTCACTTCTTTCTAAAGGGTTAATACTCTATCATTTGGTGCTTTCATTGAGAGCTAGAACAATCAAGTTAGCATCATTCGTCACTATCAAGCACAGCTAACTGACTATGGGAAGAACAAAGTCAAATCGTAACCTCATCAGCAAGTCGATCCTGAAACTCAGGAGGCTCATGAACGCTCTGGCGATGCCACAGCCGATAAGGTCACGGACAAGGAGGTCTTCCAGGAGGCTATTGACCCCATGGTGGACCTCCGCAATCAGCTTAACGTCAACGCTCAAGACGCCCGTATCGGACTTGAGAAGAAGCGCACGGAGAAAAGTGATCGTGCGTCAGGACAACAGACTACTCCCACTGTTGACCCTCAGCTTCATGCCGCTCTATCGGCCATCATAGTCAACCTGGTTCAGAACCCCACCGTCCTCAGCGCGCTCATGCCAAGGATGGGGGAGAACACTACTCCATCGCCTCCTCCTCCTCACCCGTTGGTTATGAACGTCGGCAATGAGGAGGCGGTCGTGACCCAGGATACGGCATCCCACTCCGATCTCGCTTCCCCTCGTCGAGTTGGACCGACCCCAGTGCGTAGAGCGTCGACCTTCAATAGGCTAGGGGACACGCATCGTCAGCCGGCATCGGAGAGGATAGCGGGATGGATTGGTGGACGTAAGCCTGTCTCGCCAAGGGAAAGCTTGGGGTCCATATCTCGGACAGCGGATCGACCCCGCCTTGACAAAGGCAAGAGCAAACTACATGAGGGCGACGCACGTCACCAGATCAATGCGGCTCACGCAGCCCGCAACCAAACCCAAGGCGCCGCCACAGCCTCCAAGGACCCCCGGGACGAGGTCATCGCCCAACTTGAAAAGAGGCTTGCTCAGATGGAAGCAAAGCAAATGGCCGAGGCACGTACGGTCGCGGCGTCTAGGGACCCCGGTTTCAACGACCTGTTGCACAAGGTCAGCGCCTTGGAGCGGGAGCTGGCCGATGGACGTGGTGATCCCATCATCCAAGTCAGAACAAAAACTCCCTTCACCACGAGGGTGCTCTCGGTCCCAATTCCCGAGAAGTATCGGGGGAATGCCATCAAGTCCTATGACGGCCACACCGACCCCCAAGAGCACTTCAACCGCTATCAGAACAACATGCTGATGGTGAACGCGTCTGATGAGTACCTCTGTCGTTGGTTCCTTTCCACTCTCGAGGGACCAACGTACGAGTGGTTCAACGCACTACCTGAGGGAAGCGTGGATTCATGGCAAGATCTCGCCCAACGCTTCCTCAACCACTTCGCTAGGAGGAAGCGCGTGAAGAAACATTTCTCCCATCTCCTCTCCGTCAAACAGCAACACGATGAACCACTCCGGTCTTTCATCAATCGATGGACGAAGGAGACCGACGGGGTCGAAGGGGCCGATGAGCGCATCCTTCTCGTCTTCTTTCAGGGCGCTCTCCGCGGCAACCCCTTCACGAGAAGCCTCATCACTGACCCGCCGAGGTCATACACCAAGGCACTCCAGTGAGGGAGCTTGTACGTTGATGCCGATGAGCTCCATTCCCACAAGGACAACCATCAGCCGAAGAAGCCCAACAACGCTCCTTTGGCCCCCGGCCAGGGAAAGCACGCACACTCTGGTCCTAGCGGGCAAGGACGCGGCAATAAACTATGGCATCGACCGACAGAGGCAGGGCCGGACGCACTGAGGATTCCACTCACGCA